CAGTCGTACTGGCCAGGTTGTGGCAACACACAGTGGTACTGGCCAGGTTGTGGCAACAACAGTCGTACGGCCAGGGTTTTGGCAGACACAGTCGTACTGGCCAGGTTGTGGCAAAACGTCGTCTGGCCAAATTGGGAAACAAATGGTACGGCCCGGGTTTTTGGCAAACACAGTGTAGGCCAGGTTGTGGCAGCACCAGTCACGGCCAGGTTGTGGCAAACACCCAAACGTTTGGGCCCGGTTTTGGCAAACGCAGTGGTATGGCCCGGTTGTGGCAACCAAAAACAGTCGTACGGGGGAGGTTTGGCAGCACCAGTCGTACTGGGCCCGGTTGTGGCAACCATAGTCTACTGGGCCCGGTTGTGGAACACGCAGTGGTATGGCCAGGTTGTGGCAACACAGTCGTACGGCCAGGTTGTGGCCACCAGTCGTACTGGCCAGGTTGTGGCAACACCTGGTCTGGCCAGGTTGTGGCAACCGCGGGGGTCTGGCCAGGTTGTGGGGAACCCGTGGTACTGGGCCCGGTTGTGGAAACACACAGTCGTACTGGCCAGGTTTGTGGCAACACCAGTCGTATGGCCCGGTTGTGGCAACACACAGTGTACTGGCCAGGTTTTTGGCAAAACCATTTGTACTGGCCAGGTTGTGGCAAACACGTGGACGGCCCGGTTTTCAAAAAACACACAGCGTACGGCCCGGTTTTGGCAACACACAGTGTACTGGCCAGGTTTTGGAAAAACACAGTCGCTGGCCTGTTGTGGCAAACACAGTCGTATGGCCAGGTTGGGCGCCACCACCAATATTCTTATTGTCAAACAGGAACGAATCATCCAAGTTGACAGTTTTTATTTTCATCACCGAAAGTTTTTGTTTTGTATCTGTGACGGTGAAAGTTGTCTTAGGTTATTAATGAAGAAGTGACGAGAAGTGTTTTTTGTATGAGAACTGAGAGAGTTATTTAATAATTAATTCGTTTAAACAAAAAGGTTATTAAGAATATGCTTCTTTATCTTAACCACAAGTCTCTCAAGTTGTCACTTCTTCACATATTTACATCTTTTCTCATATTTTTCTCAAAATATTTATAACCCTCATTAACATATATAAACAAATATTTTCTAAATTCTCTTACTACAATTTATACAATATTAATTAACTTAAAAACAATGGTGAGAGAGAGTGAGTGTAGATATGTCTGTGATAACGTGTACAAGGTATATATGTGTGTTGCTAGTGTGTGTCTTGTAGTGATGTATAATGTGTAATATGTATTTATGTAGTATATAGGTAGTAAGGTTGTAGACGCAACCTCCAGGGAGTGTTTTTTTAAACGAAAGCCTGTGGATTGTTTTACATGATGGTAGGATTGATGTGTCTTTTGTTCTGTCTCATAAATTATGCAAAGATACAGGCATGTCTTGACTTTACTTACACTTAGGGTCACACTTCACATAATGTACAATTTATTTATAACACATCATCTGAGTTTTCTTTGATATTATCTTAATTGGTCTTGGTCTTATTACTTTTCCGTTTATATCCATGGGGAGAAGTGGAATAAGTATCTTTCCTCCGTAAGCAATGCGTGTTGTTAAAGTCAACTAAAAATGCCGGGGTCATGGGTTAGTAACCCCTTTCCTGTAAGATTTTACTAAATAGAATAAGAAAGAAAATTGTTTTTCTTTCTTTTTTGGGGTCTCCCTGGCCTCGGTGGGAGAAGGCGACTTGTTGAAAAAAAAAAAAAAAAAATGTATATATGTGTGGTTGATAGTAGGGTGGTGTTTGTAATGTTGTCTATGTACACATGTATGTATATGTGTTTGTGGTTAGTAGTGTTTGTAATGATGTATATGTGTACACATGAATGCATGTGTGTGTTGATAGTGTGTTTGTAGTGATGTGTATGTGTACACATGTATATGTGTGTGTTGGTAGTAATGTATATGTGTACACATGTATGTATATATGTGTGTTGGTAGTAGTTTGTTAGTCTTGATTATGTGTACCACATGTATGTATATACGTGTGTTGGTAGTTGTGTGTTTGTAGTGATGTATATGTGTACACATGTATGTATATATGTGTGTTGGTAGTAGTGTGTTTGTAGTGCTGTGTATGTTGTACACCTTGTATGATTATATGTTGTGTTGGAAGTAGTGTGTTTGTAGTGCTGTGTATGTGTACACATGTATGTATATATGTGTGTTGGTAGTAGTGTGTTTGTAGTGCTGTGTATGTGTACACATGTATGAATATATGTGTGTTGGAAGTAGTGTGTTTTGTAGAGATGTATATGTATACACATGTATGTAAATATGTGTGTTGGTAGTAGTGTGTTTTGTAGAGATGTATATGTGTACACATGTATGTAAATATGTCTGTTGGTAGTAGTGTGTTTGTAGTGGTGTGTATGTGTACACATGTATGTAAATATGTGTGTTGGTAGTAGTGTGTTTTGTAGAGATGTATATGTGTACACATGTATGTAAATATGTCTGTTGGTAGTAGTGTGTTTGTAGTGGTGTGTATGTGTACACATGTATGTAAATATGTGTTGGTAGTTGTGTGTTTGTAGTGATGTGTATGTGAACACATATATGTATATTTGTGTGTTGGTAGTAGTAGTGTTATTTCTAGGATGTGTATGTGTACAACAGTTATGTTATATGTGGTGTTGGTATGATGGATATGTTGTACACATGTATGTTATATGTGTGTTTTGTAGTGATGTTATGTGTAACATGTATGTTATATATGTGTGTTTGTAGTGGCTATGGTGTACAACATGTATGTGTATATGTGTGTTTGTAGTGATGTATATGTGTACACATGTATGTATATATGTGTGTTTGTAGTGATGTGTATGTGTACACATGTATGTATATATGTGTGTTTGTAGTGATGTATATGTGTACCATGTATGTATATATGTGTGTCTGTAGTGATGTATATGTGTACACATGTATGTATATATGTGTGTGTAGTGATGTATATGTGTACACATGTATGTATATATGTGTGTTTGTAGAGAAGTATATGTGTAACTTGTATGTATATATGGGTGTTTGTATGATGTATATGTGTCCACAGTAGTATGTAACATAGTGTGTTTGTAGTGATGTATATGTGTACACATGTATTGTATATATTATGTGTTTGGTAGTGATGTATATGTGTACACATGTATGTATATATGTGTGTTTGTAGTGATGTATATGTGTACACATGTATGTATATATGTGTCTTTGTAGTGATGTATATGTGTACACATGTATGTATATATGTGTGTTTGTAGTGATGTATATGTGTACACATGTATGTACATTATGTGTTTGTAGTGATGTATATGAGTACACAATGTATGTACATTGTGTGTTTGATATAGTGATGTATATGTGATACACATGTAAGTACATATGTGTGTTTGTAGATGATGTATATGTGTACACATGTATATATGTGTGTGCTGTAGTGATGTATATGTGTACCATGTATGTACATATGTGTGTTTGTAGTGATGATTATGTGTAACATGTATGTACATATGTGTGTTTGTAGTGATGTATGTGTAACATGTATGTATATATGTGTGTTTGTAGTGATGTTATGTGTACCACAGTATGTTATATGTGTGTTTGTAAGTGATGTATATGTGTACACATGTATGTATATAATGTTGAGTTTGTAGTGATGTATATGTGTACACATGTATGTATATATGTGTGTTTGTAGTGAAGTAATTTGTGTACCATTGTTGGAATTATGTGTGTTGTAGTTGATGTATATGTGTACACATGTTTATGTATATTATTTGTGTTTGTAGTGATGTATAGGTATACACATGTATGTATATATGTGTGTTTGTAGTGATGTATATGTGTACACATTGTATGTATTTTTGTGTGTTTGTAGTGATGTATGTGTACACATGTATGTATATATGTGTGTTTGTAGTGATGTATATGTGTACACATGTATGTATATATGTGTGTTTGTAGTGATGTATATGTGTACACATGTATGTATATATGTGTGTTTGTAGTGATGTATATGTACACATAGATTATGTATTTGTGTGTTTGTATGATGAATATGTGTACACATGTTATGTATATATGTGTGTTTGTAGGATGTATATTGTGTACACATGTATGTATATTTGTGTGTTTGTAGTATGTATTTGTGTACACATGTATGTATATATGTGTGTTTGGTAGTGATGTATATGTGTACAATGTATGTATATATGCAGGTTTGTGTGATGTTATGTGTTCACATGTATGGATATAGTGTGTTTGTAGTGATGTATATGTGTAGATGAAAGTTGAAAAAGTAAACATTCAAAAAAAAAATGTATGATCTACTAATAATTCAGAGTAACATAAAGAAGAGCCACAGTTCCGTGGTACAGCTGTTCAGCTTGGCTGACTCTGCTGTCAGACCCTGGTGACAGCTGCATAATAATAATAATATAATAATATCTGGCAATATAAAACACAAAAACTTTTAAACGCTAAATAAAGAAAAAAAAAACTTGTTCTTAGTATATTTTCTTCAAAGTGTAAATAAAGGAATTCCAAAATTTTACGTTAATTTGCCTCTCGGGATGTGTGCCGAGCTGTGAGGCGGCAGCTGGTTGGCGTCTAGCATGACTACGGTCAGGCTGTCTTGGGGATGTAATTACTGGACGCAGTTTTCTGTGTGTGTCCCCTCCAGTAATTCCACCACCTGGACAGTCTCTACCGTAGACCAGCTAGACAAGACCAAGTTTCCATGCAGCGAGGTCACTGAAGGTGGCAACCGCTGACTCTGGGGAAGTGGGGAAGGGAGTCCACCTGAGGTGACACTAGTGGACTCCTGGAGACACTGATCCGGGGAAGGCACCGCTGACTCTGGGGAAGTGGGGAAGGGAGTCCACTGAGGTGACATAAGTGGACTCCTGGAGACACTGATCCGGGGAAGGCACCGCTGACTCTGGGGAAGTGAGGGAAGGAGTCCACTCAGGAAACAAGTGGACTCCTGGAGACATGATCCAGGAAAGGCACCGCCGACCTTAGGCAAGTGGGTAAGGGAAGACATCCGAAGCGAGCGGATGGATTCCTGGATACATGAACTTGAGGAAGGTTGTTGTTGAGGCTGACCTTGGGTAAGTGGGGAAGGGAAGATATCCGGCGGTAGACGGAAGGATTCCTGGATACATGATCCTGGGAATGGCAAGAATACCGCTGACCTTGGGAAAGTGGGAAAGGGAGTCCACTCAGGTGACATAAGTGGACTCCTGGAGACACTGATCCGGGGAAGGCACCGCCGACCTTAGGCAAGTGGGTAAGGGAAGACATCCGAAGCGAGCGGATGGATTCCTGGATACATGAACTTGAGGAATAGGTTGTTGTTGGAGGCTGGACCTTGGGCTCAGTGGGGAAGGGAAGATATCCGGCGGTAGACGGAAGGATTCCTGGATACATGATCCTGGGTACGGCAAGAATACCGCCGACTTTGGGGAAGTGGGGAAGGGAGTCCATCTGAGGTGACATAAGTGGACTCCTGGAGACACTGATCCGTGGAAGGAACCGCCGACCTTAGGCAAGTGGGTAAGGGAAGACATCTGGGAGCGAGCGGATGGATTCCTGGATACATGAACTTGAGGAAGGTTGTTGTTGAGGCTGACCTTAGGTAAGTGGGGAAGGGGAGACATCCGGAGCGAGCGGATGGATTCCTGGATACATGAACCTGGGTAAGGCATGAATACATGCAGTTGAGGCTGACCTTGGGTAAGTGGGGAAGGGAAGATATCCGGCGGTAGACGGATGAATTCCTGGATACATGAACCTGGGTAAGGCATGAATACATGCAGTTGAGGCTGACCTTGGGTAAGTGGGGAAGGGAAGATATCCGGCGGTAGACGGATGGATTCCTGGATACATGAACCTGGGTAAGGCATGAATACATGCAGTTGAGGCTGACCTTGGGTAAGTTGGGGAAAGGAAAATATCCGGTGGAAAGACGAAGGATTCCTGGATTACATTGAACCTGGGGACAGCAAGAATACGGTTGGTGAGGCCTGACCTTAGGTAAGTGAGGAAGGGAAAACATCCGGAGAGGACGGATGGATGTCCTGGATACATGAACCTGGGGAAGGCTGAGGCTGGAAGGCAGAGAGAGAGAGAGCATGGCTGAACCCTTAGGGAAGTGAGGAAGGGGAGACATCCGGGGCCCACTGATGGATCCTGGACACATGAACCTGGGAAAGGCGAGGGGGGGGGGACCTTAAAGACGAACCACTGGCCACGCACGTGGCAAGGTCTGGTAACACTGGCCCCACGTGGCAAGGCTTTAACACTGGCCTCCACGTGGTCAAGGTCGGTAACACTGGCCTCCACGTGGCAAGGTCTGGTAACACTGGCCTCCACGTGGCAAGTCTGGTAACACTGGCCTCCACGTGGCAAGGTCTGGTAACACTGGGCCTCCACGTGGAAGGTCCTGGTAACACTGGCCTCCACGATGGCAAGGTCTGGTAACACTGGCCTCCACGTGGCACGGTCTGGTACACTGGCCTCCACGTGGCAGGTCTTGTACACTGCCTCCACTGCCAAGGTCTGGTAACACTGGCCCTTTCACGGTGCAAGGTCCTGTAACACTGGCCTCCACGTGCAAGGTCCTGGTAACACTGGCCTCCACGTGGCAAGGTCTGGTAACACTGGCCTTCCACGTGGCAAGGTCTGGTAACACTGCCTCCACGTGGCAAGTCTGGTACACTTGGCCTCCACGTTGAAGGTCGGTAACACTTGGCCTCCACGTGGCCAAGGTCTGGTAACTCAGAGATAACTCTGAGGCTGACAGTGGTCGCAATATATTGTATATAATTTTACTTATAATATACTAATAATATATTATTATTATAATTTATTTATTAATTATTTGTTATTTTAATTCATGACTTGTAATTTGGATTTCAAAAGCGTCAACCAGCCTCCCTGACATAGCATCGAAGGTGTTATTCTGACTCACCTCCCTGACAGTAGCAACGAAGGTGTTATTCTACTTCAGCCTCCCTGACATAGCACGAAGGTGTTATTCTGACTTCAGCCTTCCCTGACAGTACATCTGAAGTGTTATTCTGACTTCAGCCTCCCTGACAGTATCATCGAAGGTGTTTATTCTGACTTCAGCCTCCCTGACGTAGCTCGAAGGTGTTATTCCTGACTTCAGCCTCCTGACATAAGCATCGAAGGTGTTTTTATTCTGACTTCAGCCTCCCTGACAGTAGCATCGAAGGTGTTTATTCTGGACATCAGCCTCCCTGACAGTAGACATGGTGCCTCTCGCTGTGCCACCCACGTTATCATAATCTGAAAAAACCCCCCCACAAAAAATAACTTTTCCATCATTCAGCACTTTCACCTCACTCACACATAATCACTGTCTTTGCAGAGCGCTCAGATACAACAGTTTAAGAAGCATATGTAAGTATATATGATATCCCTCTAAACTGCCAATATCCAATATCCGAATGGGGTAATTAACAAGAACCTGAATTTAAATTAGTCCATTCTTATATTTTTCTCAGTACTTTTAACGATACATTTTTCATTTATGTTAATGTAAAAATTAATAACTGTGTTCAAAAAGAGCATTAGAAAACTTACAATATAATAATAAACGAACACAGTGAAATACATTTTTTTTCTGTTAGGTTCAGAATGATTTTGCGAAATTATTGCATACACAAACTTTCACTTGCCTTATTACGGCAAGTGAAAGGCAATTGAATAAGGCAAGTGAAAGTTTGTGTATGTGTTAGTATGCAGTTAATGAAATAGCTGTACATTTCTTTATGTTCTCATCTAGGCTGTCAGCCTGGAGACTGTTGACAACACCAGGTAAAGTTATGTCAGAATTATAACAGAATTATAATAACACAGAAGACCAGTAACAGTACAATAAGACAAGACCCCAGTACATGAAATAACACAGAAGACCAGTACAATACAATAACACAAGACCAGTACAGTACAACAAACACAGAAGACCAGTACAATACAATACACACAGAAGACACCATACAGTACAATAACACAGAAGACCACATCAATTTCAATAACACAGAAGACCAGTACAGTAACAATAACACAGAAGACCAGTACAGTACAATAACACAGAAAACATACAGTACAATAACAGGAGAAGACCATACAGACAATAGACACTAAGACCAAGTACAGTACAATAACACAGAAGAACCAATACAGTACAATACACAGAAGACCAGTACAGTAACAATAACACAGAAGACCCAGTACAGTAGCAATACACAGAAGACCAGTACAGTACATAACACACAAGCCAGTACAGAACAATAACACAGAAATACCAGTACAGAACAATAACACAGAAAGACTATACAGTACAATAACACAGAAAGACCCAGTACAGTACAATAACAACAGAATACCATTACAATACAATAACACAGAAAACCAGAACAATACAATAACACAGAAACCAGTACAGTACAATAACACAGAAGACCAAAAACATACAATAAAACAGAAGACCAGTTACAATAACTATAACACAGAAGACCAGACAGTACAATAACAACAGAAGAACCAGTATCAGTACAATAACACAGAAGACCAGTACAGTTACAAAAACACAGACAGACCAGTACCGAACCATAACAGCAGAAGGCTATACAGTACAATAACACAGAAAACCAGTACAATACAATAAAACAGAGACCAGTACAGTTCAATAACACAGAAAGACATACCAGTACAATAAACACAGAAGACCAGTACAGTACAATAACACAGAAGACCAGTACAGTACAATAACACAGAAGACCAGTACAATACAATAACACACAAGACCAGTACAGAACAATAACACACAAGACCAGTACAGTACAATAACTCAGAAGACCAGCACAGTACAATAACACACAAGACCAGTACAGAACAATAACACAGAAGACCAGTACAGTACAATAACACAGAAGACCAGTACAATACAATAACACACAAGACCAGTACAGTACAATAACACACAAGACCAGTACGGAACAATAACACACAAGACCAGTACAGTACAATAACTCAGAAGACCAGCACAGTACAATAACACACAAGACCAGTACAGAATAATAACACAGAAGACCAGTACAGTACAATAACACAGAAGACCAGTACAGTACAATAACACAGAAGACCAGTACAGTACAATAACACAGAAGACTAGTACAGTACAATAACACAGAAGACCAGTACAGTACACTAACACAGAAGACCAGTACAATACAATAACACTGAAGACCAGTACAGTACAATAAGGGAAGACCAGTGCAATACAATAACACAGAAGACCAGTACAATACAATAACACAAGACCAGTACAGTACAATAACACAGAAGACAAATACAATACAATAACACCGAAGACCAGTGCAGTACAATAACACAGAAGACCAGTACAGTACAATAACACAAGACCAGTACAGTACAATAACACACAAGACAAGTACAATACAATAACACCGAAGACCAGTGCAGTACAATAACACCAAAGACCAGTACAGTACAATGACACAGAAGACCAGTACAATACAATAACAGAGAAAACCAGTACAGTACAATAACACAAGACCAGTACAGTACAATAACACAGAAGATCACTACAATACAATAACACAGAAGACCAGTACAGTACAATAACACAAGACCAGTACAGTACAATAACACAGAAGATCACTACAATACAATAACACAGAAGACCAGTACAGTACAATAACACAAGACCAGTGCAGTACAATAACACAGAAGACCAGTACAATACAATAACACAGAAGACCAGTACAGTACAATAACACAAGACCAGAACAGTACAATAACACAGAAGACCAGTACAACACAATAACACAGAAGACCAGTACAATACAATAACACAGAAGACCAGTACAGTACAATAGCACAGAAGACCAGTACAGTACAATAACACAGGAGGCCAGTACAACACAATAACACAGAAGACCAGTACAGTATAATAACACAGAAGACCAGTACAACACAATAACACAGAAGACCAGTACAATACAATAACACAAAAGACCAGTACAGTACAATAGCACAGAAGACCAGTACGGTACAATAACACAGAAGACCAGTACAACACAATAACACAGAAGACCAGTACAGTACAATAACACAGAAGACCAGTACAACAGAATAACACAGAAGACCAGTACAATACAATAACACAGAAGACCAGTACAGTACAATAGCACAGAAGACCAGTACAGTACAATAACACAGAAGACCAGTACAGTACAATAACACAGAAGACCAGTACAATACAATAACACAGGCAGTGTTGACGTGTACTTGGCTCTGTGAAGATCTGTTTGCGCGCTCTCTAGAATTGAAGCAAGATGCCCTCCATCGAGCAACTTTACCAACAGCTTAAGGAAGAATTGAGGTCGGCGAATATGGAAATTCGGCGACTGACCGAGGAAAACAAGAAGATTCGTAGTAGTCCTCCTGTTTTGAGTCCTCAGGTCAAGAAGGCAAACTGGTCAGTGGCTGGACAGCAGGGAAAGAAGTTGACGATCAAGAAGACGAATGGAAAGGTTGAAACGATGAAGAAGAAAGAGACTGCCGTGGAAACTGTTGTGGAAACATCCAATACATTCTCAGTGCTACCCGACGAATGTGAGTCGACTACTGGGAACATCACGACGAAAGACATTAAGGAAGGTAAGAATATTGCTGTTGTTGGGGATAGCCAAGTTAGGTATATGGATAGGGCGTTCTGCTTGAAGGACAATAGTAGGAGTAGGAGAGTTTGCTTTCCTGGGGCTGGGATGGAGGATATTGTTAGCCGTCTGGATGACATCATGAGAGGTAATGGGAGCAATCCTATTATCTGTCTCAGTGCTGGAGGCAACGATGTTGGCAGACGTAGGAGTGAGGAC